TCTCTCCCTTCCGGTAGGATCGAGTTCAAGGTCGAACGATCGAAGGTAATTTTCTCCAAGTTGATCGCTTCCGTCGGTCCCCGGAGTACGATCCACCGTTCCTGTCCCTTTCTACCCTCTTTGGAACTCTGTTGGCTCGCTCTGCCGTTCCAGCCGGTTTCCTCCGTTGGACAGGTGACGCGCCGCTTTTTATCACTCGTGCTCGTCCATTACTCGGTTCTACCTTTTTCAATCTTTTTTTCGATAAATTTTTCTCTGCTCCGTTTTTTTTTTTTTTTTGCTTCTTTTTTTTCTTGTTTTTGCGTGTGTGATATGGATCCCACGTTTCATAAACTCGCGGCAAGAACGGAGAAAGAGAAGAAGAGAGACGAACAGGAGAGACAGACCGATGGAAATTGGTTCCAGACGGATTTGGAAACTGACCGGGAACGGTTGAATTGGAATTTTTCGAGATCCGTTTGGATTAAAAAGAGCATCCTTCGATCCTGTGGGAAATACTCCTAGCGAAAAGGATTAGGTCCGCGTTGTGGAACCATCGGTAACAACCCTCTCGCTCTTTTGCCTTCACCGCCGCACCTCCTGTTAGATTTACGATCTTCTGTTCGGACGTGGTTGTTGAAAATTGACCGGCACCGAACCAGATTAAATTTGAAAAAGGAGAACAACCAACTGCAGAGTAATTCCCCGAGTAAATAATTCCGATCGTTTCTTTTACGCTCTCCACTTCTGGGCAGGAAAGCGTTCTTTTTTACACCGCCATAGAATTATAGATTTGCATTATTGTATCTACAGTCAACTTACGTGTATGCACGTTCAAAAATGTAGAACTTACAATTTGTATGTAATTTATGATATATAATGTATATTATTAAACTTTTGATTATTCTAAAATCTAAAAATTACTGAACATTTAACACGTAACGAATTAAGAATAATATTATTTATTCAATATATTGAAATATATTATCCTCTTTAAACCTCCAATAAATAAATAAACTAATAATTTTAAGCATCGTAATGGGTTAAATGGATTAAACGAGTATTATTGGTTCATTTGGAAATACGTATATAGTCAGTCCAAAAAGTTTCCGTACATTTCATTATTTATTTATTATTTATTTAAATGTTGTATGATTTTAATAGATGAGTGATAAATAATATTCAGGTATTTTTTGTTATTATTACTAAAAGAAATTCATTTGCATTTAATTATTAA